GGGGTTACAACAGCCTGCAGTATCTCCTTACATCACAACGTCATATCTGTACTCACCAGGTATAATCAATTCAGCGTTCTGCCATAGGACAACAAAAACATCAACACACTGGTTACAAGGAGACAGGACATGCACACCACATTGTAGTGTTTCTGCAAAGAACTGGAAAATGTTTCTGCAAAGAACTGGAAAATATCTCTTCCTGCTGCAGTGGCATCCCGCAAGGAGCTGTTGAGAACATAGTGTTGAAGGTCAACATCACCAACACGCTGGAGGTAATGGGATGTGCGCTGTGCCTGCTGGCCAGATTTCATTTTAAGAAAATAGTCTCTTAAAGGTAGTGTAAAGGAGAAGCAATGGGGGCTGGAGACAGTGTTGGGTAATATAAAACAAACAGATCAATAGCTAATCGATTGCCACCAACCTATCTACATGTAACAGCTATACATCACTGTGCTCTATTCCCAGTTGTTGTTGTGGGGTGACGACAGGCAGCGTAACTTCCTAACACTTAATGATTTTGCTGATTTTCCCCATGCAGCAAAATAAGAGCAACACACACCTACATTTCCAAGGTTATCGGGTGTGTTGGTCCTGTGTGAATTTTTCCCTCTCTGTTTGTCCTCTTTGTTATTCATGAATCAAGGCCATCCTAGCCACTCCCTCCCTTGTACGTCCTCTACAGAGAGGAGAAGAAAGACAGGCAAAGACAGGGTAGCAGCTGTATGCTGACTGACGCCTGATGACGATGACGACCCAGGGAGGGTCCTGTTTGGCACGGTGGGATACACATGCTCCTCTGGACCAATACATAAACAAACAAAGCTTCACGGGCCACAAGTATGAGGAGCTCATCTGGTCATAAAGATAGGAGATTTTCTACCCTAATAAGAGTGCTCTTTCCAATTGTGTGGCCGGGCTGGACCTTATCTAGATTTTGTAGCTTGCCCATTTCTTATCTTTTAAAAACAGCAGTATTGTATTATGATTACTGACAAGTTCAATGCATAAATGGGATGGAGTTCTTTCTAATTTGTTAGTTTATTAACCTGCTTCTGTCCATACAGAATAAAGTCAAACAACGCCCATTTCTACAGCCAACTACTACCTGTTTGATCTGAAAATAACATCTGGCCAAACTTCCTCTCAACTGGGACAGAGGACATTAAATTCTGTAATATAACTTTTAGACAAGTATTACTTTCCCCCCACAAAATAAATTCTCCAAATAAAGGATATTCACCAGTAACATTTTTCACTTTAGGTTATATGGAGAGTGAGCAGTTTAGTAACATAAATAACAAAAGTGATCAAATTAAACCTTTTAAAATGCTATCCCCTCCAATCATATATAAACTGTCATAGGGACTATTTGTTTGGGGGAAAGTAGTTCCGATAAAAGCACAACAGCAAGTGTGGGGATCATTTTTTGGCCACTGTTCCTGAAGAAATCAATTTGGGCTGAAATTTGTACAAATAACCCTCACATCTATGTGGGTGGCAGCAGAAATGGCTGAGTCCATGAAGTAGTAGATAAGTTGACTTATGGCTAGTTAACTAGCTAGCTTACCGAGCTAGTCCTTAGCTAGTTCCAGACTGTTACCCGGTGAGCATGCTCGTTTTTTCCTGATTGTAACGTTATAAGGTAAATAACGCAATACAGGCTAGCCACAATAAAAAAACAATTTAACAACACACTAATTACAAACAATATCGATTTTATTACTTCTAAATAAAGGATTAATTTCGTTACTGTCCGAGTAATGGCTCTAACGTTGTCATGAGAAGTGACGGCGGCACAGTGAGGTGTAACGGTGCCTGAAGTTGTGGTTGTGCGGCAGGGACTCATTCCACACACACACACACACACAGGCGAGGGGAAGGAGAGGGAGCGCGCTATGGTTATTTCTCCCAGGCTCCGATCGAGCCCGTGTAGTCTATAGAGCTGGGATGTCCTCTCATTCGCTGTTGTTAGGGAAATGGACGGTTCGGATGGATCCGTGGACCGATCTGAATCCTCCGCTCGTCCCCTCATCAGCCTGTCTTTCACCGTGTGACTGTGTGTTTACAGGAATCACTGCGAACAACGTGACTCGCCAGCGCCAGCTCTGCACCAGCCGGACCCGGGGTAAGGGATTATTTCAACATCGCTCTTTTCTCTCCTTGGACCATAAACCAACAGCGACCAATAAGATGAAGCCCGAGATGACTTATTCTAACTGAAACAACCTATTTGTTTGAATGAGAAAGACCAAGATGCGCCGCGAGAAAGTCCGACAACAGTAAACTACATTCACAGGTTTCAATCTAGTAGCGGACTAGATTATGACGATTTTACCTTAAGATAAGGGGATATAACAGATAAAAGGCAGGTCCGATTTATCAAGTGATCAGCACAAAAATGAAAGTGGTAGATGATATACAGTAGGAGTGGGTGAGGGCACTGCAGCTTTAAGTCCACAGAGCCATTAAGAAATGCAAATACCACAAACTCATTTCACCCTCTCCAATAACAGTTTTAAGGAAAAATGAGAAGACAGCACATAGAAAATGCACACATGCACATCAAGCTGCTGTGTTTTGCTTACCTACAGTCAGCCGGTGCCAGCTGTCATTGCTCATGCTGCCTGCTGTCTTTTGTTTCCAGCTAGAGAAAGTCTATGCTTCTGTGAGGTTAATGAGGAGATAAAGAAGGAGGGAGTGCGAGACCCACCAAGTTCAATTTCTCATTTTTGTCTCATTCCAGTCCAGTGGGGCTGCAGCTGAAGAGCTGAGGATCTGAGTGGCAGCTGGTACACCGCCAAGGGAGGGGAGGGAGCCGGCTGGGCATCAGGGTCGACGAGCTTGGCTGGGTGAATGCTGCCCTGCAAAGACGAGGGCTGAGGTGTCAGCATCACTGACTTTACAAAGAGCATGGCATCCACGGGCATGCAGATTTTTGGATTTGTCCTAGCACTGTTGGGGATAATGGGTGCGATGGTGGCCACTCTGCTGCCCAACTGGAAGGTCAGTGCTGATGTGGGGTCTAACATCATTACAGCAATCTCACAGATGCAGGGACTGTGGATGGACTGTACATGGTACAGCACAGGTATGTTCAGCTGCACACTTAAGTATTCTGTGCTTTCACTACCTGCATACTTGCAGACTGCCCGCACCACCATGGTGCTGTGCTGCGTACTGGCTGCCTTGGGCCTCTGCCTTGCATCCCTGGGACTAAAGTGCACACGTTGGGGAGGTGGACGGCAATCCAAGAGACATGCGGCGATTGCCAGTGGTGGCTGCTTTGTTGCTGCAGGCTTTCTCTGTCTGGTGCCTGCTTCTTGGTTTACCAACGAGGTCATCACCAACTTCCTGGACTCCAGTGTGCCCGAGAGCAATAAATTTGAACCCGGGGGTGCTGTATACGTGGCCTTTGTTTCGGCAGGATTCCTCTTTGTTGGGGGATTCATCTTCTGTATGTCCTGCTCGGGGAAGAGGCATGGCCCACAGGACCTGGTCCTGCTCCCTCCCCCTGACAAATTGCTGCTCCAGCAGCAACAGCAACAGCTGCTCCAGCAGCAGCAGCAGCAGCAAGACCTACAGCACCAGTACTGCTCTCT